CGACTTCCATCACACATGGCGGACTCAAAAATGGAAATCACGATGTTCAATGTGGACATATCTGTACACAATGAAACTACTTGATTATGCTTAATAAAAAGTTGCAAAAGAAAATATGTAACTATTGTAAGAGAAGTTATATTTTTAGACATGTACTAAAATCAAGCTACGTTACTTTATACACTACAAATCATTACACGTGGTCAACTATGCAGTGTGTACAATTCCAAGTTTGGGAAGAAATTCTTTGGAATTATTAGAAACTATAGCAATGAAATGGTATAAAATAGTAATTCTCGATAAATTTCGAATAAAAGACACGTTTCTTACCATTTCGTAGTCCCCTTTTTATAACTTTTCACGTACCAGGCATAAACTAGCCAGGCAGCTTGCACGCCTTAACTGATTGCAAAGGAAGAAGAACGGAAGCGGAAATTACATTCTAAAAGTCGCGCATGCTCAGACCTGAACAATCTTTAGGTCCTCTTTACAATTACATATATTGTTTTCTTTTTTTCTAAATATCTATGAATAACAAATTTAACATGCTCAAATAATAAAAAGTTTACTTCATTAGTTATGCTTTAATGACCTTTTTTATTTAAAATTAAATTTTATTATTTGTGTTTTCATAGTCATCTAAATTAATAAATGACTAGGAAATGTTAAATCCTGATTAATTAAAGATGCATTTCCAAATGAAACTTCTTTAGTTGGAAATACGCCATACGAAATTTAAATTTCTTTAAAAAAAGTTATTAAGAACGTTGACATTTAGAAGTGTTTATTTCAAGTCTAATTCAAGTTTTTTAATGGCAGGAGAAGTTATAGTTGATGCGCTACCATATATTGACCAAGGATATGATGAACCTGGAGTTAGAGAAGCGGTAAGTGACAGCACATATAACAATCCATTATACATAAATTGATTTGTAGGTTATTATATTGTTTATACTTTCATATCAAATAATTTGGCAATATTTTAGGCTTTGGCCATGGTTGAAGAAGAAACCCGACGTTATAGACCAACAAAGAATTATTTAGAGCACTTGCCACCGTTACATATTACTGCTTTTGAAACAGAGGTGATGAAACATGAGTTTGAGCGAATGCAAAATCGTTTACCAATGGAAGTGCTTAGTATGAAACGCTACGAGTTACCTCCACCTCCACCAGGGAAAATGAATGATCTTGCAGCCTGGAATGAAAGCGTAAAAAATAGCAGTGCACAATTGGAACATCAGGCTACAAGGTAAATAATATCATTATTATTTTAATTTTTCAAATATTTTTGTTTATTATTTAGATAATTATGAAAATAAGAATTAATTGACATATTATTGCAATATATAATGATGCAGAATCTGTAACCTTGAGTTAATGATGGAATATGGTTGCGAAGCATGGAAGTCTTATTTAGAAATATTAGTGCAACTAGTAAATCAAGCCCAAAAACAACTACAAGGATTAAGGAAAAAAATTCAAGAGGTCAATTGGCAAAGAAAATCTATGCAAACTCAAGGAGGGGAGAAATTACGGGCATTAGAGGCACAATGGGTAGGACTTGTATCAAAGAATTATGAGATCGAACAAGCATGTGTTCATTTGGAAGAGGAAATACAAAAGTCTATGATGAACAAGGGCGAGGGTGTAGAAATTAATGATGTACCAGGAGAGGAGGAACCTGACGTTCCAGAGAAAAGTGCAACAGAGGTTATGGCAACAGAAATGGATCAACAAGAACAAGAAAATCAAGAACCTTAAAAAATGTATAAAATTGTGGATAATCATATTTTGTATTATTGTAGTCATTAATTGCATTATTATTTAAATACATTATTTATATTTACAAGTTGTCAACGAATTATTAATCCTATCTGCCGGCTTGTCGTTTTTGAAATAGGTTATATTACGCAAAGTATACGTAACGCATTACGGAGTTGGTCTTCCCTTTTTATAAATTATTTTCTAGATAAGGACACTAACATACGCCAAAAGCTGAATTTGAGCAATGTATAAGTACAGTGAAAGATAATTTATTAAAAATTAGTTGTTAATATTTCGTTATTAATGTTAAAATATCATCGAACAGTTGTAACAGAGGTTAGTATTCTAACATGATGTAAGAAATAGTTAAAATAATTCAGATATTAAAGAGATCGATATGAAATTCCAAATTTGAATTGTACTTGATTTTACAGATAATTGATAAAATGCCGTTTGGTATATCATGGTTTCGATATATTTCCTTTCTAACATTGTCATTTATTTCCATGGCATGCGGTTCGCAAGTTGTGCATGAAATATACAGACCGCTCGACGATTTGGATGACTTGATAGAAGAAGCATTTCAAAATCGATTGTTAGAATTACAAAATCAGAAGTAATTATGTAGTTAAAAACTTAAATAAAATCTTAAATAAAACTTAAATAAATCAATTTTATAAAATAAGTTCTATATAGTAATTTCAATTTTTTCAGTGATTCATCTTTTAATGTGAGACAAGGAGATAAATCAACAAGAGGGAAATAAAAACTGAATTAGCAATTTACATTTGCATTTAAATTCATATAATTCGCAATACAAGATTTTAATAAAGCACAATTTATTTCATCATAGTTTACAGATATCACGCTTTTCTTTAATGCTTGAAATGTACATATTTACAAGATGAATATCATCGTCTATAAATGACATAGTATCATGTAACAATTATTTATAATTCACAGTATACTTGGAGGACTTTCTTAAATAGTTTGCTTGCATTGACGTATCAGTAGCGCATTTTCGTGTAAGCCTAGCTTGTAATTCGTTAGGATAGCTACTAACTCGTACCTTTTTTTTTTTTTTTACTTTATATAATTACAAAAGCGAATAATCAAGCATTATTCTTGGGGCAACTATTCGTGTAGAAAAATACGTAAATTTTATCTCCGTTTCGATCGTTTTGTGACAGCAGGGGTTGTCAAAAACACTTCGTGGAGCCCGTATCGATCAATCTCGATTAATCGCTAAATTGTCATAATGATGTCTCGCTGGCGCCAGAACTCTGCGATTGTAGTGGTAAGCTTGTTTTATATCCTGTTGACTCCTCCTCTAGCAATGCTATCCGTTGTTTTAGAGATTTTACCTATAAATCAATCATACGTGTAAAAAAAGAAAAAAAAAGGAAGATTGTAACTAGTTACAACCACTAAATTTCGATTAGGATGATAAAATGCAACTGCGCAGAATCAGCTCGGCATTGAAAGTACAAGATGGCGACAGTTATATTGCAGAAGCGGCAGCGTGTGGTGTACTGTAAAAATGTCGATCTTACCACAATTTAGTATAAGAAAGATAAGGAGATTTTTACATAAAATGCCTGGGAAAGCGTTGGGGGAGTTTCGATTTTTACCCATATTGTTTGTTATGGGCGGTGTATTAGAATTCCTTATGATAAACTGGCATGTCGGAGAGGTTAACTTTTACAAAACGTATAAAAGAAGAAGAATAGAAGAAGCAGTCGAAAGAAGACTGATGGAAATGAATGGAGAAAATAATGCACAAATAAATGCGTAAATATATCGTTGCAAATAATTAATAGCATTAATAAACAAAGATGGTACTTATAAGTGTCTGTGATAGCAAAGTTTGTAAATACAACGTTGTAACGTCAATGTTTCTTTTTCACAGCTCTTAGTAATGCTTTATACTTTTATGAAGACTGATGTAATGAAGATGTGAAAAATGTAATTTATGCAAAAAACTTGTACAAAGTGTAATAAATTATTTCATAAATGTATGAACACAAATTAGCGTTTCTTCTTAATTTCCTTCATATCGCACATCACATTTATGCTTGTTCATACCTGAGCAGCATGTCTTTCTACCATGCCCAACATTTGCTGTTCCAATTTTTTCAATCTGGATTGATACTTTTTCTTAGACTTCTCTAAAGTTTGTACCAGCGCTCTAGAAACAAAGTTGAAACATGAGATTTTTCAATCTTTCATAAATCTAAATCTTCATTCGTAGCTTAATTACCCATTGGCTCTTTTCAAATCGTTAACAAGCTCGGCCGACTGTTGATGCCTTAGTTCAGAATTTTTGTTAACTTTATCTAAAGTGGATACTAATTCTTGTAGACGTTCCTTTAGCCTAGCCTCTCGACCTAAAGCCTCTATTAACTCAGATTCCATGCCCTCGCTTTCGTTATCGCTTAAACCCCGATCCTATGCATAATGTATATATCATTAAATCTCTCTTTCGAGAGAGAGAGATTTTCATTTCAAATAACTAACTTGCGTCTTTACTTTATTTGTAGCCATAGCCAGCATGGCTTCCGTATCGCTGAGTTGTCCCTGAAGATGCTCAATAGCAGCGTGCTGAGCTGCGATTTGTGTATCACGTGCATTCAACTTCAACTCTATGGTAGCCCGTTCCTTTTCCAACAAGAAAACTCGTGCCCGCAGCTCTGCTTTGTCCTCTCTCATAGCCATCAATTCCTACGCGATCGTTAAATTGACTACATTTGTTCTTGGGACATGCAAGAATTCGAAATTAATCGTCGCCATGGACGAACCTGCATAAGTACAGCTGTCTCTAAATCTAATTTCCGAGCTTCGGCGAGAGAAATAGTGTTCTTCGAATTTAATGGCTCGACGTGAACGCTTTCTAACTCCACTACAGTCGACCTGACCATGGCTCGTTCCCCTTTCAATCTACTGATGTGTCTCCTAAGTCGTTGTTCGTCTTCCACACACCAAGCCACCTCAGACCTGAAGATGTCAGATCATTAAAAAAAAAAAAAAAAAAAAAAAATTACAAATTTATCGACATTTGACAGTGTACTCACTCGTCTGACAAAACTATGCTATCTTCCCACGGCGCGTTTAGGCTGTTCATACACTCGTTCTCCAATTTATTCAACACATGGTAGGCTACGTGTTCAGCTGCTCTTCTGTTATCGATCGTGATGCTGCTTCTCTCTGTTGACAGAGCGATCTCGCTTTCTAATAATGCTACCAGAACGTCGTAAGCCTCTATCGCACGATCACTGTAGGAAAGCGCTAATCGTAACGCCGTTGCATTCGACTCGTACTTTCCAACCAAAAGACTCAATCTAAAATGGACAAACGCTCATACGTATTTTTCATAGACTTGTTTCATATACAGAAGATGGAAGCAATAAATCGTAAAATTTAAAATATGAAAATACCTATCACATTGCGCCTTACTCTCATGCAAAGTCAACGCAAGGACAGCGTTGTTTGCTCGCGCATGTTCCAACCTACTATTCAACCTTTCCGTCTCCACTTCGAATTGTTTCTCGGATCCATTTAGTTCTTGAATATTCGAGTGCTCCAAAAGATCCGAGACCAGGTGCTCAGCCACCATCGTAGAGCATACCTGTTTAAATTACCAATAAACTATTAGAGGGGAATAGGTATTACATAAAAGATATAAAAACAGTTTCTCCCAATTTTTCAAAATTTCGAACGATCAATCCTTTCCATGATAGATCTAAATCCTTTATCATTGTTCTAGTATTTAGAAACGAGATTGTATTCGATTGTATTCTAACGTATTCACGAGAGAACAGATTTTGCTCGGAAGGAGCAGAAAGCATGAACAACGAGCGACGATAACGTACCCCCAGGTTGGTAATATCGGGTCCTGTGATGTGCCTCTCGTCGGTCCTCCTGAGTCTTACCCTCTCGGCTATTTTAAGAACCGGAGCTTCCTCCCTCGTTACGTTCTTTGTCGGCGGTGTCTGCAGGGGTGGCAAGAGTGGCGAGCAAGGTGCACTCAAAGGTTCCGGCGAACTGGTGTTGCCTCTTGTCTGCGGAAATCAAAGGAGCACGAGGAAAACATTACAGTCAGAAGGGTTGATAAATATTTTTGTGAAAGTGTTGGCTGATCAAAGGCTGGCCAAAGCACCCAGGGGTAACGGTGCAAAAAATTCGTTCGACATTCAACGGTTCGTTCCAAAGGGGGAGGAGAGAGTGCATTTCGGATGCGTCAAGATGAAAAGAACGATCTCCTTTTCACGAGCGAACGGAAACTGCTCGATTCTTTCTCTCTTTTTTTTTTTTTTTTTTTTTTTGCATTGCCACGTAACGTTTCTCTACACCGTAGAGTATCGTGACCGTATCGAGGGTGCGTGTACCGTGAAACACGTCACAATAGGTCAAATTATGCTACCCACTCGTACTTCTCTACGAGGTGACTCGCTGCCAGCCTGTTGCCTCTGATTGCCAGCCTGATTCTTGAAATTCACCAGTTGAGCCTGCAAGCTTGCGATCTCCGCTCGGAGGGCTGTGACCTCTTCTTGCAGCGCTGCCATGGCCACGCTTTGGCACGAGGCCGCCTGCTGCGTCGGCTCCGGTGTTGGTAACGCCGCCGGACTGTCTAACTGCTCTCTCTCATTCTGTCGATGAAAACAATTACTTGTGATCGCTGCTACATCACGCCTACGAACGATACGAGGAGGAGTCATCGAAGTAAAGAAACTTCTTCCGGAACTCTATTTCATATCATAGAATCATGTAAAGCGTTCAAGTTTCCCGCGTCTGCTACGAAGCGTTTTTCGAGTTCGCTTGCAGAATTTCGAAGAAGTTTCGTCGATGAAGCCTCGTAATCGTTTCACGGATATACTACCTCGGCAGTGCGTGGCTCGATGTCCTCGCAGCAGCTGGAATCCGCATCGCCCAGCGTACGATCCCCGTCACCTTGAATATCACCTCCGCCTTCGCTCTCTTCGACCGGGTTCGTGATCGATCCTTCCGCGTCTCTGCTCGTTTCTATCTCTACATTAATACAAAAGCATAAAGAGGATTACGCGACTTTGACTCTCGAACAACGAGTGTAACTATAAATTGTCGACGAACGACAACTCAAGTGTCCAGGACATTCTCTTGAAAATTAAAATCTTTTTACTTTCTTTTAATTTAATAAATCGTCAACCAATTCTACGTCGAAATCACTCCTCCATTTCTGGAACGTTTATTTTTTAGACTAACGTCCATCATCGTACAAGATCAATCGAGAAACTTTCTTATAACTCTTTCATTATACTCATAATAAAACAGATGCATATTGTGGCAACGAAAAAAGAGAGAATTTAGTTTCCAAAAGTAACAAAAGATTTATAATTTATTTATAAGGGACGGGGCTCGCAGCGGGGGGAAACGCGTTGAAACATCAAACAGCCTCGATCTATAAATCTTTCTCAGTCGGAAGGAGGCAGCCGGTGCCCAGATTTACGGAATCGGCCCTCTCTCTTACCGGACTCATCCTCCTCGGCAATTACAGTAGCCCGATGCCTCTCGAGCTGCCTGCCCAGCTCGGCGATCACGGAATGCAACTCGGTCAGCCTCTCCTCGTGTCTCGCAGCTTGCTGCTCTGCTCTCTGTTCCGCTCGTGCGGCCTGCACCTCCGCGCGGACCAGAGCCGCCTCGGTCGCCTCCCTGGCTCGTGTCGCCGCCAACAGCCTTGAATTCAGCTCCGCGACCTCGGACCGCAGCGATGATAGCGCGGCCGCGTGCAGCTGTAACAGAGCCAGCGATCCTTCTCCATCAATCTATCCATCGTCTTCCCGATTTTCTTTCGAGGGGAAGTTTGTCTGAGGGCGTGTTACCAGGTTTGCCTTGAAACTTGGAAACTCGGCTCTCGCGTTTGGAAAGAGGATGGGGTGGGAACGGTGTACAACTTCAGATCATTGCACATTGTGTTACAAGACTTACGAAAGTGCTCGAGCATTTTCGGACACATTTCATGAATATGTTATATTTTGGAATCTCATTAGCACAATTACCTTGGTGAAGCTTGAAATGTATATATAGAAGTATATGTACATTTCTTTTTTGTATACGGAATTTTAGAAATGTTACAAGATAATCAGCGTAAACATATACCTCGCAGAAATTGTAAAAGTATTAATTATATTAAGGAACGTCAATATTCACTGACTACATAAGTAAACATACAGTCGCTACACAGTAGAATGAGTGATAACGTGTCAGCCAGTAAGGTACATTTTCTAAGGCTTTATGTAATGCTTTATGTAATGCAACGATTTAGATAATTATGTTCATTAAAAAAAAAAAAAGATCGACAATACGCTTGGAATCCAAGTAAATATATGTCGACAAAGATCAAAAAGTTTCAATATTTATTTAGAAAAAGAGATATTTAAAAACTAATGCTTAAATATCTTCTTAATGTTTTATTTCAAAACCTCATCGATTTTTCTTTTTTTTTTTTTGAAGATTTTATTAAAAACAGTAAATCGACAAAAAGTTTCAAGGAGACTCGATCATTAATTGTTACAACATTGACATTTTAATTTGAAGGTTTCCACGTTTCTGATCTATCTCGTGACGCAAACTATCTCGGTTATGGTTTTATTTGCAAGATAAACGCGTAAAGATCCTTCCTAGATTGTATTTTGGAAGACTACCTTCAATCAATCTTACTTATCTTTGTTATGACGAATTGCAATGCACGAATATATTACGCAATTTTATGAATCTTAGTCAAGGAAACAATTATTTAATTAACTTTACGTTTCGTCGAGGTCAACCGTGAGAAACATCACGCAATCATTCACCACGCAATTAACTCAATCAAATACGAGAAATCAGTCTTGACAATCGTTCAAAGTAAGCAACAAAAAATTCTGTTTCCAAAATTCTATATCCAGGAAGCCTACACCAAAGAATCGAAACGAATTTATTTACATTTACTTCGAACGTAGAAAGACGTGATACAATTCATCTTGATACCTTATACGGCAAGGAAGGTACTTAATGTACGAGAAATTAAACAAGAAAAGAAAAAGTTATAAATTAGTCGTTCCAATCACTCGGATATCAGCGGTATTAATTTCAGACTTAATGTCTGATTTTTAGTACGAAGCATCGGCACGACGAAAACGTCGGCGAATCTCGTCGCGCTGTTTCCGCAAAATAGGCGTCCCAGACGCGATTCTCCTTATTTGCCGGGTGGTCCTCATTAATCCCGTCCCGTATTCGCGGCATACCGAGCGTGAACGTGGCAAAAGAGAGAAATAAAGGAAAGTGGAAAAATGCGTAGGAGCCTGGCGGATACCTGTTTACGCGGCATCGTTCCTCGCGGAGTGCCCTTCGCGGGGGCAACCGTGCATGACGAACGTTACAAGACGACGAGCCGCTAATGATTCCTGGCTACACGATAGCGCACGCGATCAAGAGGGAAAAGAGGAAAATACCGGATGCGTATAAGAATCGCGACTCGTAATTACGAAGTATCATTCGAGAGTCGTCCTCTTATCGAGAAAGAGGGAAAGGATCGTGTGTGCATATTCTCGACGAGAAGGTAAACTAGTTCGTGTTAGCCGGCTTTTTCGCGACTTCTCTGCCTGTTCGAACGTCTTCTCTTTCCGATGTCGTTTTTCCCTTTTGGAAGGAAATTTTCCACCGAGGGCAGGTAGATTTGCTCGGAATAAATTGGATTTCGTGAAACGTACGAACTGACAATGATCTAATAAATGTTCGAATGTAAAAGTTTGACACACGCTTGTTCTTCGTTTCAAGTTTGGCAAAGCTGCTCGAATAGTTTGACAATCTTCATTCAGACAAATCAGAAAAAAAAAAAAAAAAAAAA